AACTTACTGATCCACCCCAATATCTATCTATCTATCTATCTATCTATCTATCTATCTATCCTCGCAAATGTATAGGCATAAACACATATTTCCATTTTTACCAAAAGGTGAGCCCGTATGTTCATCGAATTTCACTGAAATATTTCTTTATGAGCGGACTTCTTACTCAATTGTCTAATGTACAGCTTATTGTTTCTTTTTCTTGTCAAAATAATTTACAACGTAGTTCAGTCCTTTTGATACTTTCATTCCTGTTTTGCTATTCAGAACCAGAAGCTTAAAATAATAATGAAAGAAAATACATGTAGAGGAAAATTACTGTTGCAATTTACAAGTTGGCAGCTGAATACAAGGACGTAACAAAGAAATTGTACATCACATTCTTCTCATGCGTGACGTTGTAAGGAAATAATCGACCGATATGCACCTACTGAAATAAAAGTCTCACATAAAAGCGCACGGAGCATAAAAGGGCATATTGCAAAAGTTTATGAAGGTCAGGGATTTTCTGCATACTGACATCCAAAAATCTCTTCGCTACAGACAACAAAATACTTGCACCACATATCAGGGAAAACATAATTATGTGCATATAAGCAATAGCAATCTGGTTAATTTCTAAGGGAAACTACAAGAACGCCTAAAGAAGAAAGTAAAGGAAAGCGAGAAGAAAGGACTAAGCATCAATTTCAAGAAGACTAAAATCATGTTTCTTAGCAAAAGGAACATCTCAACACACAAATTACAGATTGGAGATACCGAAATCAAAACAGTTGCTAAAGTCTGGGAAATGTATTAACAAAAGACAGAAAGTCCAACACCGAAATCCGAAGGCGAATTGGGATCGCGAAAGGTGTCTTCCAAAAGCTCAGCAAAGTATTAAGAAGCAGAAAAATATCGTTAGAAAAGAGTATTGAACTGTTATGCATCATTGGTTCTCGTTATCGCCAGTGAATTCTGGGAAATCTCATCATAGATGAAGAGACTTGAAGCAACAGAAATGTGTTTCTACAGATAGTTGCTAAGATTATCATGGATCGAACATGTGAGCAACGAGGAAGTTCTAGAGACAATAGCAACAAAAAGGACACATATGTTTAACATCACGAAGAGACTGTTGAGATTTCTGGAGCAAATAATGTGGAAACAGGGCTTGGAAAATTTGATACTCGCAGGACAGATTGAACGTATGAAGGCGAGAGGAAAGCAACAGTCAAGCTACCTGACGATCTTGATTGAATGAATGGCAGAGCATAGCTTGGGAGAGATGGCAAAAAATAGAAGTTGTTAAGAAGGACAGGAAATTGTGGAAAGCCATGATCGCCAACTTCCTGAAAGGACACGGCTCACAGAAGAAGAAGAAGTAGGGCCTTCTATTGTTGTTTGAAATCTATCGTTTTAGACATAATATTTGCAACACATATTTAATCATCTTCAGGTGGCTTGATTTTTAATTCATTCAAAATCAAGCAACATTTTCATTGACCTTTATCTAGAATGGTTACCAACCACAAATAGAGAGCCCTATTATTTAGCTTATGTCTGAATGTGGGGATGAAGAGATGGATTCATATATTTCCAGAGGGTATTTGTACGAAAGCACGTTTAACGAAGTCAATCGGAATTCGAACTTGGCACACCGATTTCTCATTCCGAACGTTAAAATTTGCACTACCTGCATATACATAATTATATGCACTGATTGCCCTATAGAAATTATTCCGAACAAATTAAAAAGCTATCGTTTTAAATTTATTTCATTTGTAACCGACATTTATAAAATATACGACAGTGGTGATATATCGGAACATATATATTTTCATAGCGCTACCCACAAAGCCAGATGCAAATGAATGCGAGCTTCGTCGGAAAAGCTGCCTAATGAGCCACATAACGAAACTCATCATCTGAATTCTGATGAATTCATTGCGTAGCAGAATTAGACCGAAAATAGAACAACAATAGTGCAGTTTCGTTAAAGACACTGGAACAAAGAATGCAATATTTACACTCAAAATGATATCAGAAAGAGCAATAAAAAGGCAAAATGATATCTACCTATGCTTTATAGATTATACAAAAACTTTTAATTTAAGGTTCCAAGACAAATAATTGCTTCAACTGCTAGGTAAGTTTGACTGATTTGGAAAAAAAAGATATTAGAATAATCTATAACTTATACTCTGAGCAAACCACCTTCATACGGATAAAAAATGAATCCGGTAAATATACAAAAGTAGAAAGAAGCGTAGAACAAAGATGTGTCTTTGCACTGGGCTTATTCAACCTTTACAGCGAGGCGATCCTGAGTGATCTGCAAGTCCAACCAATATTTATTATTGGTGGACACGATCTTAACATAAGATATGTAGATGACATAATGTTGATATCAGACACAGAAAGGACACTGCAGAAACACCTGCAGGTGCAAATAAAGTAAAGTACTAAAGTTTTACTTTGTACTATGTAGAGTAATTGGCCATGGTTAAATGTAATTGGTAGATAGGGCCAATAAAAAGAATTGATAAACTTTTCAATAAACAATAAGAAAAGAAAGAAATGACCAGGGCAAAAATAATACAAAGCAAACATTATATGCAAGACAAAAGTAGGCAAAGCAACAGTAATACGGCAAAAAGTTCACAAGAATGGTGTTAACGCAAAAATGACACACACAAGTGATCGCAGCGTTCTAACTTCAAGACAAGAAAGAACAAAAATATGACGGCTGAGACCTAGAAGTAGCCTATCTTGTAGGCTAGGAAGAAATCCCAGCATGCATCTGTATGGTTTGTCTATAAATTTGGGCAGGGGGATGTTTTTGCAGTCATTCCCACTTGAATTGGAACCAAAATATTAAATTTTATTTCTTTAAATCAATTTTTAAATATAAAGTGCTCAATGTATTAGAAACAATGTGGTAGACTGCATACTACAATCGAAACTAGAATTGTTCCGACATCTTGTAAAAAGTTTACCCCCATTTACATAAACTCAGTCTGGTGTTTACACTGAGAAAACGTTTTTATAAAATGCAATTTATAATATTTGGAATGGAGAGTTTTTTTTCCACCGGATAATACAATGCATGGTGCTAACAGCTGATGAACCAGAGTCGAAAAGCATATCAAATATGAATACAAAATGGCTGACACCGAAAAGAACTAGAAAAAATATACGAAAAGTCGGAAAAATATTATGAAAATATTAGCCATGGATTACTAGTTTAAAAAATTACCGATAATGTAACAGTGGAAATAATTATTTTTAGCATTGTTAAACCATTGTTAATTGTTTGTAAATTAAATTTTTTTTCATACGGAGACATTAATTATAAATGAAACATCACTTGTCATTTTCCGCTTAAAAATAAGAACTGCTTAAAAATTCGAATGGAACCATGCATTTCATTAAATTTTATTATAAAAGAACGTTTAACAAATTAAAATCATCATATTAAAATTGATTTTGAAGGAATATCGCCGGGACGTCCGGTTTTCGTTTTTTTAAAGATTATTTTAATTAATTGATTTGTTTTATCAACCATTTGAGGGTTATTTAAAGTCAGAAAATATTTCTAGTCAGTAAGAATTAGAATTTCATTTTCGTAGCACTTCCTAAGAAGCCAGATTCATAATGCAAGGTCCATCAGATAATCAGCTTAACGAACCACATAACCCGGCTTACCTAAATTCTGATAAATATAGAGTCCATAGCAGAACTAGACAGGAAATACGACAAGAACACTATGGTTTCATTAAAGACACTAGAACAAAATATACAATATTTATTATCAAAATCTTGCAACTTCTCAGGCTAGCGTTTTCCGCTGACATGAATTAGGAAGATTATATTGAATCAATTGTGAGGTCTGCTGCTAGGAAAATTGGTTCACTGTGTCGTGCTAAATAATTTTCCTCTCCCAAATCTATCTTACATATTCATAAGTCTACCATTCGTCCATGTTTTGAATATTACTACCACATCTGGTCTGATGCTTCTGCTATGTACTTAGAGATTACTGAAAAAAATCAATAATAATGGTTTAGAGATACAAGTCTCAGTAATTAACCCATAGCTGGGGATAAAAGAAGGGAATTCATACGTTATTTGCGTGTATGTGAATTTAACGAACCCAACTGGAATTGGAACTCGGGTCTTTGATTAAAAATTACGAGCCGTTATCCATTACACCACATGCACATTCAAGAATTGCCAGGCAATCACCCATCTAGGAACTGACCAGACTCGACGTTATTTGTAGGGGATCATACGGGAACCAATGTTTCAACGTGATATGGTCGTAAGACTATTTCAAAAGAAATAACGTGATATGTCTACAGGGTGTATTTGTGTAGTATAATGGTAAGCAAGATGCTCACAATTATGAAATGAGTTCGATACTCACTCGGTGACCTCGTGCCATAATTAAGCGAAGCTTCGTAAATAACAACCGGTCATGTCTACTGGGTTCACAAACAACTAAAATTTATCTAAGATCTGTCAGTAATTGAAAGGTTTGGAATCAGAAGTATAAGGAACGGTGTTTTTGAAGTGCCTCTTACAATTGACTCCTTGGTGCTAGCCAGATCGCTTTTCATCAACAGTCGCCGTAGCTTCTTAACATTTGAGAATATCAAGCACAAAACACCTGTTTGTTCATGATGGCTCTCATAGTGTTGGATTTATGAATTCACTGATTTTCATCATTATATTTGGTTAGATGAACAATTCAAAACAACAGACGCCATAAGCGAAAACCTTATATCAGAATATATAAGGTCATCGTACTGGACTGATACTTAGTCTGTGATCATTAAAACAACACACCTTTGATTTTGAGCATTTTTCATAACGGTTAAAAGTTGAACATATCCTTAATGTAGGCAAGATCTCTACTGATTTCAATAGGTTTATAGCGGAAAGAATGTATAGGTAGGCAAGGAACCAATTTTGAATGCCTGAGAAAAATATAGCTTTGTTTTTTTTATTATTCATGTTCAAGATGAACTATAGGTAAATGAATAAGATACGTTGGCGGAGAGAGAATAAAAATAAAGAAAAGATACAACGTTACGATGAAGAGAAATATTCGAATAGAAAGAAAGGAAGAAAGATTTCACAAAAACAAGGATGGTAAACAAAAACAATGGAAACGAGACCAACAAGGAAAAAGAGGGAGACAGAAAGAGAAAGGCAGGGTAAGTAATAACCTGAAAGGGCAGGACATATACGAGGTCTAATCTAAAAGTATCCGGATTGTTGCTATGGTAACAGAGTTAAAAGACGCAGAGTGAAGCCGCTTGGTACAGATTGCTCTTGAACTCTGTTGCGCACAAAACCTAAGTTATAACATTCTTAATCACTTTCGTTGTTTATAGTAATGCTTGAAAGGAAAGTGTGAAGAGTGTGGTCGCCAAACCACATCACAGAAAACATTTTGAAAACGGTCATAAGCGACAAATCATGCGTCTATGTTTATAACACCGAAACCAAGGTTCAGCTTTCGCAGTGGAAGAACCTAACTCCTCCGAGACGGAAGAAAGCACGAATGAGTCGGAGTAATGTGAAGACACTGATGACAGTTTTCTTCGACTACAAGGGCATTGTTCATCATGACTATGCTCCACCTGGTCGGATAGTAAACAAAGAGTACGGCGTTTTCGGGTTGTTGTTTCTCATGTAGCGGTTTTGCCCCCCCCAAAAAAAAAAACAATCCCCGGTTCGGCAACCACAATATTTCCAGGTCTCGCCCTTTCCGACTTTTACAAAAATCAAATCTAACTTGACAGGAGCAAGATTTCCAAACGTCGAAGAAATGCAAGAGAATGTGACGAGGCCGCAAAAAAGGTGCTCCAGGAATGCTTTCATCAATGGAAACGACGTTGGATAAAATGTCTAGCTACAGATCGGGGGCTACTTTGAAGGAGATTAAATGGCGGATTGATATGTGCTGTAGTTTTTATTATAGCTCAAGGTCCGATACGTTTTGATCAGACATCGTGCATAAATACATTGATAGTATAAGAAGGAAAAAATGAGACGAATGTACGAAAAAAATAAGAAAGATATTATATTATATATATATATATATATATATATATATATATATATATAGAGAGAGAGAGAGAGAGAGAGAGAGAGTGAGTGTGTGTAAGAATGAAAAGAAAGAACAAGACGATATCGTGAAAGAATAAGAGGGAACATAAAACGAAAGGAAAGATAAGGACGAAGTAAATGAGCAAGTAAGAATAGGTCAGATATATAGATACGTAGGTAGATAGAGAGAGAGAAAGAGAGAGGTGGAGATGATAAAGAGTAATAAAGAAAAGAAAGAAGAAAAAGAAGTAGAGGGTAAGCGGGAATATAAAATGAATGGAAAGTTAAGTACGAAGAAAATAAGGAAGAAAGCATACCCCAGATATATAGATAGATAGATAGATAGATAGATAGAGAGAGAGAGAGAGAGAGAGAGAGAGAGAGAGAGAGAGAGGGAAGAGTTAAAGATAGAGTAAAAAAGAAAAGTAAGTTCAAAACAATATTGTGAAAGACGGAGAGTGTAGTAGGGAAAGGAAAGTGAAAGGAAAGTTAAGTACGAAAAAAACGAGAAAAAATAGATAGATAGAAAGAGAGAGAGAGAGAGAGAGAGAGAGAGAGAGAGAGAAAAAAAAGAAAAGAAGGAAAACGATAGAGTGAAAAGAGAGAGTAAGAGGAAAAGTAATGTGAAAGGCACAATAAGTACGAAGAAAATGAGAGTGAAAGTATATACCCCTCTCTCTCTCTCTCTCCCTCTCTGTGAGAAAGCGAAAAAGCTAATGAAAACGAACCAGAATACCCAAATGAGACTATTTGCTAATGAGATAGAAATCTAGGAAGAAAGAAAGGAAGACAAAGAACAAAATGTTTACTCGTCTGCTGTCTTCCTCTTTGATATTTCATATTCTGAATATTAATAAATCTAGCGGCAAAAATTCATGCAAATAGACAAAGTTGGCCTTGGATCGCCTATTTCCGTTCCGCTGTCTGCTTGCTAAATTTTTGCCGGTTTATGATATCCATTCTTGTCCGACATATTGGTCTTGTTTGGGCTGAGGTAGACGACTTACTGTTAATCGTATCTGACTATCAACAATAGTTATTATTACTTAAAAGAGTGCGGTTTATTGATCGAGAGGTCATGTACTGAGAGGTGGGTATCTGCTATCGCATTACAAGACAAGTGATACCTCAAACCTTTGTTTTTGTATGAAAGCTCAGTCATCTCATAATATTAGAAATAGTCAAAAAGTTCTCAATTCTATTTGTTTTTGGAATAACTATATTTAGTCGGTATCACTACATTCAAGGCAGTAAAGTCACTAAGACACAAGAGGTTACAAGGTGTGGAAGAATTAGGAACAGAAACATTAATAATAAGCAGGAAGAGGAAATCAGGAGGACAGTAGATAGCGATTGATATTGCATTTAAATTTTTGTAGATTAAGGTTGGCTGGAAAGCATGGAGCCGGAACAAAGATTCACAAACGAGAAATGCGAAAAAGAAACTGTTAACATAGAATTTGCGGTTGCATTTAGCCAGCTCAACTGATGACATCTCGACATTAATCTTGTACTGCGCTTAAATTAAAAAAAAGTCATGGTATCATAGCGAAGAGCCCATCCGAATAATTACCATGAAAATATTTATAGAAAAGACAGAGAAGCAACCTTACGGCGGTGGGTAAATGACTGAAGCCGAGATATCAGATCAGGACTAATAATATTGCTGATTCTTCTTTGGATTTTATAGGAAAATAGTACGAATAATAATAATTGCTTCTTTTTTTGTATAACGTTTAATGTAAGTACGCAGTTATTACAGTTTTTTTTGTCATCCTCTATGTAATAGATAATAATACAGAGAAATGCACTGTTCCTGGGTATGATAGTAAACTTCATCCGGCAGCAAGGCATCTGATCAAGAGGATTTAAGGAGTGTGGAACCATCTCTTAATTGCTGCTGTTCCCAGCTCCACCATGATTCGGGGTGGTAGTACTGGTTAGGGTCCCAGCTATGGGCAAATAGTTAACTCAAACTGGAGTCAAAACACTATGAAAATATAGAAATACGTTTTTATAGAAAAAATACCAGAAATACATTTATGAAAAAACAAAACATTATCAGCAATACATTTTTGAAAAAAGAAAATTTTATCAATAACACGTTTGACTCTCGGCAAACACCTTTTTCGCAAAATACGTCAATGAAACCTGATCTACAAATTGATTTCTTACAAAGAATACATATTCTATTTATATGAACCTATTCTAAAAAATCTTGTCGGTATTAAATAAACCATTGAGGTTGATATGCCGTCAACCAAACCAAACCAAACCAGAGAAATGGAAATAATGTATTAGGTTGGGTCATTACTAATTTCCGTTTTTGTTTGTCAACTTTGTTCTTCCAAATGTAAAGTACAATTATATTTTATTCAATTATATGTTCACCGTTATTTGCAATGACTTGTTGTCATTTATCAGGTAGCACTTGCAAACGCTTCGAGTAAAATTTCGCAGGTTTTAATCTGAAAAAGTTTTCGACGAACTCTTGAACCTGGTTTTCATAGGAAAAAGTTTTCCCATCAAAATGTTTTGTAACGACCGAAAAAGGTAATAATTGGTTGGTGCAAAGTCAGATAAATATGGCGGGTGAGACAGAACACATTAACTGAGGTCAAATTTCTTTTCAAGTGCTAGACATGATGTATGCTTCCTTGCGTTGTTTTAGAGGGGGAACAACATTTGTCATTTCATCCACCGTGTACGCTGCCACTGCCCTTTCCAAAAAACATAGGTATGTTAGTTCACTCTAGATTTATTCTTAATTGCTACGTATTAATAGTAGCTAGGGTGATATATTCGTCATAACAATTTGTTCCCAAGAACGGATATAGGTCAATTTAATAGGAATTTCCGGTTGTCCTTTTGCTGCAAGGATCAAGGCAGCTAACCGCCTTAAATTATTTTAATTACTTTCTTTTAAGCATTTCACTTCAAGCAAGGTGGGAGTGCCACTAGCACGCAAGGGGTTACAGAAAGTGGGAGCAAGAGTAAAGAGGAGTGATAGAGGAAAGGATGAAGTGAAGGACGGGGAATAGATCAAGACATCTGGAGATGTCGATTGACATTTCATTTCAATAATTGAAGATTATAGATATCAAGGAAGCAAGTAAAAAGAAGAGAGTTCCACAGACATGAAGTGCGAGACATGAATCTATTGGAGTAGAAGAGACGACTGCATTTAACAGTTTCGACAGTGAAAGGGTCGGTTGAGATGGCTTACTAGTAGCACGCTTAAATTCATGCAATCTGGGAACCAGAGAAAGTAGCTCGTCGGAGCAGTTCTTTCTATTTTATTTACTTTCCTCAATGGTTTCTATCGGGGAATCATTTTATTAATAGTTTTGCTTAGTATTAAGAAAAAATTATTTTACAATTTTTCTTTATCTTTTTATCACTGATAAAAATAGATATAGATATAATTTATTATTAACACTATTTATATTTGGACTATTCTCCTCATCTTTGTTGTTGTTGGTAATAACAGCAACAAAGATGAGGACAATAGTTTAGTCTAATTAGATATTTCAAAATATTTTCATTTATTTTCACGTTCATTTCTTTATTCAGTTAGTTTGGCAATTATCTCTCTAATTTTCTTTTTCTTCGCTATGACTATTTTATATTGTAATCTCTCTTACATGCCATGCCACGTTAAGACGTAGTGATCATGGCTCTCCACAAATCCCTTTTCTATATTATCTAAGAACTGCCATGACTACTTGGCAAATATAGTGAAATGGTTTCCATTTGCTTTCTCACTGTTTTGATTTCAGTATTGTCCTTGGTCTACACTAGCTTCCACCCAATGCTAGAGAACGCAGTCTAGTCTCCTATTTAACTCATAACTGAGGAATATGTGATCTACTGTAGTAAAAACCTGAACACGAGCAAAAATTTTATCAGAAATCCCAAGTCACCGAATAAATCCAAAACAATAAACGCATAAAATATTAATATTAATGGGTGAAGATAATTTTCGGTTTGCTTATGTAACTTTAAACTTTTATAATGGACTGGAATTTGAATACAATTATATACTCCCTCTGCTCTAGATATAATTATAGGTTATTATGAGACTTACATTGGCTGCTGTCGACGTATATTTACCCTTTCAACAGATTGTGAAATAGCGGCCCTAAGCGTTTCCGTTCCAAACTAAATTGCCATTAATGGTGTTTCAAAAACAGCGTCGACATATATTTTTTTATATTGTGTGTTGGGTGCAACGTTTCGATTAGTCTGTACTGTAAAGTATCTGATCAACTGTCCTGGGTATGACGATAAACCACACGCGGTAGCCAGGCCTCTGATCGGAAAATTATTGGGAGCGAGGAACCACTTTTTAATTGTTGTTGATCCCAGGTCCACCCTGACCCGGGGTAGTAGCAACTGTTAGGGTCCCAGCTATGGACAAATAGTTAATATCCAATCTGAGATCAAAACACTATGAAAGTATATAAAAAATTATAGCAAAACCAGCAATACATTTTCATCTTAAAAAAATTGCACATTATATTTTTGTACGAAGAAAAAATATTAGCAGAGGGAATGTAAAGTAAAACGGAAAATAAGTACGAAGATAATAAGGAAGAAAGAATATCTCAGATAGGCATATATATATATATATATATATATATATATATAGAGAGAGAGAGAGAGAGAGAGAGAGAGAGAGAGAGAGAGAGATATATAATAAGTGAGAAAGAAAAGAATGTACAAGGAGATATAGTGAAAGCAGGACAGAGTAGGAGAGAAAGGAAAGATAATTACGAAGAGAGAAAAGGAAATATATAGCTGACCACCGGATTCGAGGATACCCGTCTACTAGGGGGCTAGCCTTTCCCTATTGCAGACGCATGCTCAGGCGTATTTGTCTTCATTCAACCCCCACAGAACCCACTCGTGGCTTATACTGCAACTATACTGAGCAGACCTTAGTTACAGTTTCTGGGAAAGAGCGTGTTATCTAGTCTGATCAACAATTTCAACAAGGCCACGATAACTTTGGACTTCGTGCTAACACAGCTATCGATGACACTCAAGGGTACCCGTCTACCCATTTTCACTCACAAGGCTTGGGTCAACACGTGGTATGGTTTTCAGGCACTTTCCAAAGGTGCCGCACGCTGAGATCGATCCCCTAGTCGATAACACCAGGAAGTCTCCTTCCTGGCAAATCGACCATATATATATATATATATATATATATATATATCAGAAATAAAAAGTATAAAAATTAATATTACGAGACATATTAAAAACAGGCAAAGCAACCGGTTTCGCTCCCGCTCTTCAGGCTTCAACTAAAGATTTAATTTAAAAATTAACACAGAAAAATGTACAATAAAGGGAATTTGTGGGAAGAAAAAAAAAAGTTAACAACTTTCCTTTATTGTACATTTTCTGTGTTAATTTTAAATTAAATCTCTCAAGTTGAAGCCTGAAGAGCGGGAAAACCGGTTGCTTTTGCCTGTTTTTAATATGTCTATAATATTAATTTTTATACTTTTATTTCGATCATTAAATTTTGTACCTACAAAAATATCTTTAAGTATATATATATATATATATTATTTTTTTCACAGACAAAAATTTTAAACTATTAAGATGAAGCTTCGTTTCACTTTTAAAAGTGACTGGTGAGAACCAAAATGGTTATGAACAATTCTGTTTTGTAAGCCAACCGTATGTGAAACGTCACTTCCTTTTTTCCCATTTGTTTGAAAAAAAAAATAAAAGGAAAAAAAAGGTGACAGGTGAAAAAATAGCGGTTGTTGATATATTTTGGCTGGTGTTTGAGTTTAAAGTAATGGCTAGATCTGAAAAATTTATTTTCGACAACAACAGAAAAGTGTTTTGGCAAATTTCAAAGCCTTCTAAATTAAGGGGTGATGATTTGAGAATAGTATGTAATGACTAGTTATTCGAGTATTTTTTATAATTACAAAAGACTTTTTTTGATTATTTAAATTAAAAGTGATAACTCCAGCATATATTTATGCAATTCAGCTACAGGTTTTTTTTAAAAAAAAAACATTTGTAAATTAATATTATAATGATGTCGTTTTTTAGAATTTTTATTCCTCCTTCCTCTTTATTATATTAATATTCCTATTCTCACCTTCTCACCCAATTTTTAGAAGGCTTTGAAATGCTGTGCCTAAACCTTTGACTGTTGTTGTCGAAAATAAATTTTTCAGATCTAGCCATTACTTTAACACCTCAAACACCATTTAACAAACTGCTATCAACAACCGCTATTGTTTCACTCCGTCACCTTTTTTTTCCTTTATGAATTTTTTTCAAACAAATGGAAAAAAAGGAAGTGACGTTTCACATGCGGCTTGCTTACAATCAGAATTGTTCATAACCATTTTGGTTCTCACCAGTCGAAGTGCAATTTTAAATGCACTGAAACGAAGCTTCATCTTTATAGTGAGTAAACTCTTTTTGTCTATATGAAAAAATTATAACAAATAATTATTGCCCTATTATTGGTATTAAGCCCACTTTTGAATTAATTCTGTGAACGTTAGAATTTATATATATATATATATATATATATATATATATATATAGAGAGAGAGAGAGAGAGAGAGAGAGAGAAGAGAGTAACAAAGAAAAGAAAGTACAAGACGATATAGGGAAAAAGCAGAGAGCAGGGTGGAAAAGAAAGTGAAATGACTAATAAAATGAGAAAAAGAGGACATCTCAGAGAGATAAATAGAAAGAGATAGAGAATGAGAGAGAGAAAGAGATAGCGAGAGAGTAAGAAAGAGAAGAAAGTGATATATATATATATATATATATATATATATAAAAGGGAGGAAGAGAGAGAGAGAGAGAGAGTTATAGAAAGAGAGATAATTAAGAAAGAAAAGAAAGTACATGACGATATAGTTAGAGAGGGATAGTGTAAGAGGGAATGGAATGTGAAATGAAAGATAAGTACAAATAAAATGAGGAAAAAAGGATATCCGGGATAGATAGATAGATAGATAGATAGATAGATAGATAGATAGATATAGAGTGTGTATGTGTGTGTGAGAGAGAGAGAGAGAGAGAGAGAGAGAGAGAGAGAGAGTGAAAGAGAAAGAAAGAAAAAGTAAGAAAGAAGACGATATAGTGAAAGAAGGAGAGAGTAGGATGGAAAGTAAGGCGAAAGGCAAGATAAATACGAAGAAAAAATTACCACCTATACATTTTTTGTAAAAGAAATTACTAATGCTTCCAAGAAAATTAAATTTCGGTATTAAACGACCCATAAGAATTTGATATGCGCTAAACAAACAAACAAACAAACAAATAGGTATCTGATCGAAACCTAAATGACGGCGCCCAATGAGAAATCGTCGTCAGCGTCTTTATAGTCATTTGTTTCCAATAAAAGTCAATTTCCTTTTTTTTCCGAAACGGTCCAGCACAGACAGGCAACAATGCTTTAACGACGTAGCAGTGAAAATTTTAAGTTGAAATTAATCAAAATGAACTTGAAGATAATTAAGAATTTACTAACAATAGTTTTAAAATTCCCCGATAAATTTCTTACGGAGGTGGATTTTGATGATTTTAACCAAGTATAATTTTGATAGGCCCGCAATCCATCTACAGTACAATATCAGGATAAAATTTAAATCAGAATGTTTAATTAACACACTCCATTTGAATTAATAAAATCCAGGTAGATAGGGATACGCTCAATAGAAATATTCATTCAAAATGTCAAATATCGCGTGTGTGCAAATAGCAGAAAACGTAATTACACGAAGAAAGACAGCTTTATTAAATTTATGGCCTCGAACCATGCGTTCGTAAATTGATATTAATTCTCATACGGTCACCGCATCTCATCTCTGAGAAAACAGGAAATTTATACAGCACTTCGGACACATTTATTATTCACATTACTTCAAAGAGTGCTTACAAATACATCTCACGGGCAAATCAACGCTCACAGTTATAGCTTAACATATATCAATACACTTACGCTCCATCTAGCCATAAGCCAATTTTACACCATTTTCCTGCTTGTACAAGTATAAAAGATACCACTGATGGAAGACACTGTCCCAAAATTTAAATCTAATAATCTTTTAATCTACTGAAATTTTTAATCTTTTAAAGTTTAATCTATTAATCTATTGAAAAACATTTCATCTCTTAAATGTTAATCTATTAATCTATTGAAAAGTTGACTCTAGTAATTTCTTACATTTTAAGTTATTTTAATCTGTTAATCTCACAAATGTTAATGTATTTTAATGCATATTAAAAAGTTAAATCTATTAATCTAAATTTTGATTTATTAAAGAATTAAAAATTTTAATCTATTAATATATTGAAAATTTAAATCTAATAATTTCTTGAAATTGAATTTCTACTGAAAATTAAAATCTATTAAACTCTAAAAATTTAATGTATTCATCTATCGAAAATTTTAATGTATTAATCTTTTAAATTTTAATCTATTAATCCACTGAAAAATTTTATTAATCATTTTGAATCTATTAATATTTTAACTTTTAATCTATTAAGCTATTGAAATTTTTTATTTATTAATCTTTTGAATTTTGACCTATTAAGATATTGAAAATTTTAATCTTTTAAATTTTAATCTATTGAAAAATTTTATTTGTCAATCTTTTGAATTTTAATCTAGTGATCTCTTGAAAAATTTAATCTATTAATGTTTTTAATTTTAGTCTATTAATCTATTGAAAAAGTTTAGTAATCTTTTAAATTTTGATTTATCAATTTATTTAAAAATAATCTATCTAATTTTGTAAGTTCTAATTTATTAATCTATTGAAAAAAATAATCTCTTTGGGTTACAAATGTCCTTTATTCATTTCTTTGTATTCGCAACCAAACCTTGATTTCTTTCATAAAGGTTAGAATCGGAGGTCAATCTTATAATATAATCTAAAGTGATATCTTAGATGCTATTTCATTGATTACAATCTTGTTAACATAATGAAAAAAAGGAAAATTAATGGAGTGGATAGCATCAGTGTTGATTTTCTACAAAGAAATAACAATTTACAAGGACTCGGTATATGCGTGTCAGTGAGAATGGAAAATCTTGTTTGATTATAAAAAGCTGAAAGACACAAATCAACAGCTGCATCAGATAAACCATGAGTCATTTACGGAAGATTATGCAACATCTTGTATAATTAGCAACCATTCAACTCTTGTTAAAACCACATTAATCACTCTCTGATAGAACTTTGTAGAAGATAGATTGCACTCCTGAAATTGTTATTGATTCAAAAATATTAAATTACTGTTCTAAGAAGAGGAAGAAAGATAGAGGGAATGAAAGTGAGAGTGGATGAAAGGAAAATAGACAAATACGAAAAGAGATGAGAAATTCTTAAAGTATACAAGTCTGGCTAAAGGCTATTTAGTATGATGAGGCTTCAGAATAATTTATCACTGAAAACGGGAAAATTCAATCAGGAGAGTAGAGATAATTGCGGAAAAGAAAGAGAAAAACGAACGAACAAGAAGGAGAGGGAGAGAGAGAGAGAGAGAGAGAGAGAGAGAGAGAGAGAGAGAAATACGAGAGCGAGAGAGTGAAACCAGAGCGTTAGAGACCGAAAGAAAGAGAGTGACATAAAACGAGAGAAAAATAAAAAGTGTGTGTGCGTGATTTATATGTATATATTTATATGCATGCATATATATATATATATATATATATATATATATGTGTGTGTGTAAGTAAAAATTTCAAATAGTGTATATCTGTAAAAGGACAGTATAAATTAAGACAAAGAAAACTTATCTTAGCCGACGTGTTTCTTCCTCTGAGGGACTATATCAAAGCAAAGATAAGTTTTCCTTTTGTCTTTATTCATATATATATATATATATATATATATATATATATATAGAGAGAGAGAGAGAGAGAGAGAGAGAGATAGATAGATAGATAGATAGATAGAGAGAGAGAGAGAGAGAGAGCGAGAGAGAGAGAGAGAGAATGTTTTCACCTCTTCGGCTATTCAAATGAGAGGAAAGCCAAAGAGACAATACTAAAAGAATGCAATAGCATATAGGTTGGTTGGAAACGTATAACTTAGGAATATGAAGAACAGGCGTATTTGGCCAAAGCGATAATTTTCTGAAAAGGAATGGGGCACCAGGCATGTGCAAATATTTCTAGTGAAAAAAAAAATAAAAATAAAAAACAGTTTTCAAACGTGGATTCAGCGCCGGGAACGTTGGTGCACACACACCTTTTCCCAGAGAAAGAAAAAGTAGAAACTGTTCTGCTCTTAATTTCCGAAAAGTAAACAAGATTTTATTTTTTATAACTGAACATTTCACACTTTTGTCTCGTATTTCCTTTTTCCCAATCTTTTAACTTTCCGACCATCTGCGTCATTCGACGCTTTCCCGAACAAACATTCCTTGGTTTCCTCTCATTTCTTCTTAGTTTCGGTATCGACAAAATCCCCCATAACAAAAAACAAAAAACAAAAAACCAAAAAAAACTTACATTTAATCACAGGGATTACCACATAGCTTAGGTAGTTTAATATATTCAACGCTTTCTGCTTTCTGATCAGTAATAGTGATCAGACAGAAAGAAGGAATTCGGGTAATGATTTTTAAGACAACGAAGATTTTTCTCACACTATTTAGTTGAGTAGGAAGTTCTTTCTTTTGCGATTTTGCGCCACTTAATCTGGCGCCGTACTGAGCAGAATATAGTAAATAATTCAGAGGCGCCTACTGCTCGCAAAGACATTTAGATCACTAGTGGTAACTCATTACCACGACCTTCTTTTTTAACACTAAAAACTGGATACACTGTTGAAAACTGTTTTTTCGTTGGAAAAATTTGCACATGTCTATTAGTACTTAAGCTGTCCTTGCGAATTAAACGTTAGTTCATGAATTTAGTGATATAGTAATTGTGAGTTCAATCCCTGGGCCAGGATTGTTTAAACTTGGACCCAGTAGGAACAAGGCGAGCAATAACCGAGCAGTGATAAAAATAAGAACTAGACGAGATAGCCCTAAACACGGTCAGTGGAACAGTCTGCAATCGTTGGTTCACTTCCGTATTTCCTGTAGGTTATCCGAATGGGTACCTGATGAAAACCGGAGTGCACAACGGCCGAAACGTTATAATAATAACAATATAGATGAGGAAAATAGTCCGCATGTAAATAGTGTGGATGAGGAATTATTCTTCACCCTCCAAACTCTCTCTGATCTTTCGCCACTTCCACGGAAAGTGCTCGGACGAGCTGCATTCCCCGGTCACACCAGTTCAAACCTTCAAGGCAAGGACACGCCACGCCACTTGCATCGTATCAAACCATTCACATTTCCTCCGTATTCCATCAGCAAGAAGTAAGTTCCGCTCAAACAGCTTCTTCCCGCGAACCACTGCTCTGTGGAACTGACTCCCAAGAGGATGTCAACCGTTATCTTCTCCTATCCACACAAATTGCCTCCTAACGTAAACCTCTACCTCGAGTGGCCCACTGGCCTTGTACAAGGTGAACGTTACTGTCCCCCCCAAATACACAGTTTGTTGAAATGATTTCATCTGCAATCAGTTCTATCTCCAGTCATCCCAACCCCCATTGATGTAAACTTATTAGAGAGGAGGAACTGTTTCGTGAGTCCAAAGCACGTATATACTTTCCACTCCCCAGGTTGGATTGAGTTGATCTTCAGCAACTAGTAACTCTTTTTTGTCCTTCTCTCATTCAATTTATATTCAATAGCTTCTGTTCCATTTGCTGTTACATGTGTCTCCTTTCTCCCTTCTTAATTTTCTTTCTATTTTCCCCCTCCAGTCTTTAGAACAATAAAACCATCTGTTAACACAGGGGCTAATAATTTGCTAATTGATCTCGCCTTTTCTTCTTCCTGTCTTTTGAGCCAGCTCCTATCGAGCAATCAGAATGCAGAAAGGCCGAGAGACCCAGCCCTGAGCCCCCAACCGTAGAAGCTATTCGTCTCCGCTCGTTTCGGTGTTAAGCGACAACGTTCGCCAATCTATCATAATTATCATTTGTAATTATCAGATTCTCTCACGATCAACGGACCTGGGAGCGGCAAGTGTCAGCCAAGGGGAGATAATCAAATTAGACAAGCAACTAGTCGAGTCTTGTCAGGTTTTGTAATGTCGACTAACGCACATTTGCAACGGAATCTTAGAGAATACAATAGCGTGAAACAATGCACCTTGTAGATTGCCCAGCGACCAGATGCACGATCGTTTACAACCATTCGCACTTTAAGCTCACAGCTTTGGCTAAGAGTCAGAACGGCAGAATAAATGATGTGAGGTGTGACGTCTAATAGCAAGTGTCGCTACTCTGATGTTCATTATCACATACACATATGTTGGTCAGTGTAGGCAAAATCTAGTCAGTCAATATTATATACTTTGCAGTTCGAACCAGCAACTCATATTGGTTGTTATACGGATAACGTTTCAACCTATATCACCTCCGGTTTCCTTCAGGTATATTTTCGTATTCGGTAATGTTTTTGGAATTTCGAACCAAACCCTTTATTCAATACATGGTATAAAGTGTTCTCGCCCGCTTTTCACATCAATTAATGTTCACCAGTCTTATTTATTTTTATGTTGGTTGTCACTTTTCTTCTACTCTCACTAGTATGCGTCTTTTCATTACTAAAACAGGCATCGAATCCGCTATTTCCATAGATTTCTTTTAAAGGAGTCCATCAAGAATAGATGATGACCCAACCTAGCAGATCTAGGTGCCTTGTTCAGGTCGGTATGCTTGCAATGATTTGCTCTGAGCCACAGCAATCATCTCTTCCCTCTCCTACAATCCCAGGGCACACAAAGGTCTGGGGAGAGAATGCAGGCACATAGGATACCATATAATACCAGATTAACTGCTTTCAAGTCCCTCTTATTGGGTTTTCCAAGGTGGTTTGAATTCAGAGTTTTTCTTCTCCTAGACCGGTTGCCACCCAAGGTTATAGAACCCACTATTCTGTTATTTACCCAAAGATGGGATGGAAAAGAGATGGATTCGTATATTTTTCAAGGATATCTTGCTCCTGTCAAGTGGGATTTGATTTTTGTAAAAGTCGCAATGGGCGAGACCTGAAGAATATGATGGTTGCCGGACCTGGGGAATGTTGTGTTTTCGATCAAAAACCGCAGCACGACAGACAACAACCCGAACACGCCGTACTCCTTGTTTACTGTCTGACCAGGTGAAGCATAGTAATGATGAACAATGCTCTTGTAGTCAAAGAAAACTATCAACAGTGTCTTCACATTGCTCCTACTCATTCGTGCTTTCTTCCGACTCGGAGAGGAAACTGAGCTTTGGTTTCGGTGTTATAAACATACTCCTACGATTTGTCACCTGTTACAACCATTTCAAAAGGTTTTCTGTAATGTGATTTGACGATCACACTCTACACACTTTCCTTCCAAGCATTGCTATAAACAACGGGAGTGAGCGAGTAGGTTATAGTTTAATGTGTATGTGCGACAGAGTCAATCTGTGCGAAGCGGCTGCCATCTGCTTACTTTAGCAACAGCTCGGATACATTTGATCAGAACTCATAATTTCAGCTTTTCAGGAGGGCCTGCATATTTTGAAAATCAGCATTCAAAATCATTTTTTTAGACTTTTGAACACCGCACGCTGGCATTAGTTTCGAAACACGCATCTACTATAGCTACGAAGCAAACCACAAGAGTCTAATGATTATTATTGGTATTATTATTATTGTAAAGGGATATCAATATAGATATTCAAATATCACCTCATTTAATCTTGACAAAGTCAATCCCAGCTTACGGATATAACACGTAACTGAATATAACGGATCCGACTGGAATTGGAACTCGGTTCTCCGATTTCTCATCACGTTGAAATACCGGTTCCCGCATATCACCGAAGTTAAGCAAAATTGAGCCTGGTCAGGACCTAAATGGGTGACAGTCTGGGAATTAGAGGTGCTGTAAGCTTGGATGTACAGGTGGTGTAATGAATAAAGACTTGGAATGGTTAATCAGAGAACTGAGTTTCAATCCCCGTTTGGTTCGTTACATTCACTCATGACCAAATACCCTTGCGAAAGGTAAGATTCCACTTCTTATCTTCCCAGCTATGGGTCAATTTTTAAGTCAGGTATCACTAAAACCATTATTATTTCCCCACATCAAATACTTACAGTTTAAAATATTTTCTGGTTTTAAATAACCTGCAAAGGGTTGATAAGCCGTAAAAACGAATCAGTTAATAAGTCAGTTCCATATAAGATAATGGCTTTCATAAAAAAAACATAACCATGCAAAGGAACATTGCCCTCATGTGCTGACAACAGGGGACTATATCCCAATTCACGTAAAGTGGACTATGATAAGTTTTTAGCCACCATTAATTAGAGCAATCTTGACTTGTGTAATAACGTATCTTCTTTTTTTTTCAGACAATACTGTGTTAGTATCAAGCTACTCTCATCTATGAACGATAGTTGACTTATATCTTGCAACGAAAGATAGTGGAAGTAAGGAAATTAGGGAATTTCAACAATGGCAAATAATAGGATGGCATCAGTGTGGCAAGTCAAATAGAGAAATTGCTAGGTTCTT